CCAGCAAGGGAAGAAGGGAGAAGGTTCTCGGATGACAATGGACGTTCCACTGTGCAGGATGAGGGCAGAGTGTGTGACATCACCACCACGAGGGTGCAATGTGATCTTGGGCATCTCCCTTCCTGGCCAGCACTCTGCCTCCTCTATCCATCATGGTGTTTGGTGAGTTTTTCCATCACCCTGGACAAGACGAGGAACTTGTCAACCTGAACGTGGGGGGCTTTAAACAGTCTGTGGACCAGAGTACCCTCCTGCGGTTCCCTCACACGAGGCTGGGGAAGCTGCTGACCTGCCATTCTGAGGAGGCCATCCTGGAGCTGTGTGATGACTACAGCGTGGCCGACAAAGAGTACTATTTTGATCGGAACCCCTCCCTGTTCAGATACGTCTTGAACTTTTACTACACGGGGAAGCTGCACGTCATGGAGGAGCTGTGCGTGTTCTCCTTCTGCCAGGAGATCGAGTACTGGGGTATCAACGAGCTCTTCATTGACTACTGCTGCAGCAGCCGGTACCAGGAGCGGAAGGAAGAAAGCCATGACAAGGACTGGGACCAGAAAAGCAACGATGTGAGCACGGACTCCTCCTTCGAAGAATCCTCTCTCTTTGAGAAAGAGCTGGAGAAGTTTGACGAGCTGAGGTTTGGCCAGCTCCGAAAGAAAATCTGGATTCGAATGGAAAACCCAGCTTATTGCCTGTCCGCCAAGCTAATCGCCATCTCCTCCTTAAGTGTGGTGCTGGCGTCTATCGTGGCCATGTGCGTGCACAGCATGTCCGAATTCCAGAATGAGGACGGAGAAGTGGATGACCCTGTGCTGGAGGGAGTGGAGATTGCATGCATTGCCTGGTTCACTGGTGAGCTGGCCATCCGGCTGGTCGCTGCCCCTTCTCAAAAGAAGTTCTGGAAAAACCCTCTGAACATCATCGACTTCGTGTCCATTATTCCCTTCTATGCTACGTTGGCTGTGGACACCAAGGAAGAAGAGAGTGAGGACATTGAGAACATGGGCAAGGTGGTCCAAATCCTCCGACTCATGAGGATTTTTCGAATTCTGAAGCTTGCCCGGCATTAGGTAGGGCTTCGGTCTCTTGGGGCCACGCTGAGGCACAGTCACCATGAGGTGGGGCTACTGCTTCTCTTCCTTTCGGTGGGTATATCCATCTTCTCCGTGCTCATCTACTCTGTGGAGAAGGATGAACTTGCATCCAGTCTCACCAGCATCCCTATCTGCTGGTGGTGGGCTACTATCAGTATGACCACGGTGGGCTATGGAGACACCCATCCGATCACCTTAGCCGGGAAGATCATTGCAAGCACGTGTATTATCTGCGGCATCTTGGTGGTGGCCCTTCCCATCACCATCATCTTCAACAAGTTTTCCAAGTACTACCAGAAGCAGAAGGACATGGATGTGGACCAGTGCAGTGAGGACCCACCGGGAAAGTGCCCCGAGCTACCTTACTTTAACATCAGGGACGTTTATGCACAGCAAGTCCATGCCTTCATTACCAGTCTGTCTTCCATTGGCATCGTGGTCAGCGAGCC